AAAAAAAAAAAAAAAAGGTACAGAAAGGCATTTGCTGTTTTTAGTGTTTTTGTAAGTAGGTTGGAGCTCCTCAAAAGGGAGTCTTCAGACTGCCAAGGAAGCTGATGGGCAGAAGCCCAGGCATGGTCATTTCCTTAAGAGGTGAACATCTGGAAGGTTTCAGCAACATGAAAACAATGTGTACTTCCTGCAATTTTAATTTATCCTCAGTTCAATAGGCAGGAAAATGCACACACCTCACAGATCTGAAGTCTTGGATGAACTGTTTCTGCCTGCCTGCCTAGAGAGCAGTAATGACCTTAACACCTTAGATACAGATAGATAAACCACAGTGGTTAACATGGAACTTGCTAAACTAGAGTGGTCCAGAGAGTGACCACATCAGGCCAAATCTGTCTTTCAAGGCATGTGTGCTCTGATGAGTTTTTATGTATTTCTCCTTCTTACTTTATAATTACAGGATGCCACAAATGATACTTCCCACATGTTTGGGCCATTTTATTTAAGTCCTTGTATGTTTGATGCCTTTTGGCACATTCTAGTCCAACCTCCTAAGAAGCTTCTAGTAAGAGATACAGATTGAGGTGAGATGTAAATCAGGTTCCTTTGAAAATGTGAATTCTGGCGTGGCCGGCATGGTTCAGTGGTTGAGTGTCAACCTATGAAATAGAGCCAGGAGGTCATGTTTTGATTCCTCGTCAGGGCACATGCCCATGTTTCGGGCTCGATACCCAGCAGGGGGCACACAGGAGGCAGCCAATCAATGACTCTCATCATTGATGTTACTATCTCTCTCTCCCTCTCCCTTCTTCTCTCTGAAATCAATAAAAACATATTTTTTAAAAAAAGAAAGAAAATTACCTAAAAAAAAGAAAAGAAAATGTGAATTTTTCCTCATACAGGTTATGCTTAACGATGGGGATATGGTCTAAGAAGGTGACATTAGGCAATTTCATGGTTGTGAGAACATCATTGAGGGTACTTACACAGACCTAGACGGTACTCTTACATGACTGGCAGCAAGGTAGGTTTGTTACAAATGCATGAGTAAAGCTCTGTGCTATGACATCACTAGGCGACAGGAACTTTTCAGCTCCACTGTAATCTTTGGGGACCACTGTTATATATACGGTCCATCATTGATCGGAACGTCGTTAAGCGGTGCATGACTATACTTAATTTTTGCAGAATGATGTGTTTACAAGCATATGTGTAATTGACCATGACCTCAATTTTAAACAGATACGATTTCTTATATAAATCAACCAAAGGCATAAAACAAGAAGTGGTTCTTATCTAGAGAACTACATTTTTAGGTTTGCTTAACTGAGAGGGTTGAAGAAACTCTTCAGCCCTCTCTGTTCCTTAGTTTCCCCTAATTAAGTGGAAATATTTAGACACTAGCATGTTTTCAAGTGCAAAGATAAAGGATATATAGCTTTACAGGACTGAGGAAATAATATGAAATCCCAACACAGTATAGTTTACATGCAAATCCTCTAAAAGCCTCACCAATAGCCAACTAGCAAAGTCTTCAGTTCCTCTCAAACCCTCTAGAGCATTAAGTTAAAACCACTGGGCACCAACAAATCCTTTTATGGAGATAGCTATCAAAATCTGTTCAACCATCTGTCTCTCTGGCTGTTTTGCCTTTCAGTGTTTTTCCATCATGTGCTCTTTGCTAACAACAAAAAAAAATCTATTCTAAAATAACCAAGATGTTAAGACTGAAAATGCCAGAGGTATATATCCAGTTTATGAGAGAAATTGCTTTCTAAAGAGGAGTTTGCTTTATCTTGTGTGGTAGAAGGCAACATTTCCACAAATATTATAGTTGTGCTAAGAAAATAGCCAACTGCTTTCATTAAAAGAGTCTGTGACAAGATTTGTATTCGTTCATGTAATTGAATTTAATGCTGTTGAAATTTGTCAGGTCTGAAAGCTACTGAGGTGTAGACCAGATTTTTACAAGAGGAAAAATGCTTAAGAAATTGTCTCTCCTGCTTATAGCAGGTCTTCTGCTGACCTTGAAAGGTCACAGGTCCATCATTTCCTGTATTTGCATAATTCCTAGCACCAAACAGTGCCTCCAGGAGTGATTTGTTTTTTTGTTTTCTTTTTGAGAGGAAGACTAAGGAAGGTAGTCAATATTTGTGGAGAAGCCTTATGACTTGCCTGTCAATTCACTGTTTCACATTTAGCGTCTGCTATTTTGACGTCAGACTTAGGTTAGGTAGGTAAAAATGTGAGGCTGCCGGTGCTTTCATTCCAGCCACTAGTTTTGCAGCTGGTTTTACCTCTATGTAGTCAAGGAGCTCACTATCTCACCTACACACCTCCATGTTACAGATCTTACAAAGTTCAGACTTTCTGCAGAAGCCCCATTCCATATTTAAGATGTCATTAATACATCATTCTTTTCTGTCTCTTACCTGGGTTCACCTTGGTTGATGGACATATAAATCTCCCAAGAATTCTCCTCTGGGATGGCTCCATGTGGTATGAGTAAACTCACTCCTAAAACAGAAAAAGCCAAGAGGTTATTCACAGATTTTCCAATTACTGGGCACCTTACAGATGCTCACAAAAAAGGCCCTTCCAACAGCAATTTGTGAAACCCCAATTCTTGGAAAGTTCATAAAGTCCAAGATAATAATGACAAAACGATTACTTACTAACAGTGACATAAAGAAAAACTTTATTCAAGTGTGTATTCAAATTAGATCTTGAGTCTTCCTATCATTTTTTAAATTCTCTTAAAATTTGAATGTCTTGGACTATCAAACATATCTGAGAATATAAGAGTTTATCAATATATCAGTTAATCTGTTCCAAAATTTAAAAATGTGCTTCTCTATCTTGTTTCATCCATTCATTTCCTGTAAAGGTATCTAGGATAATGGGTGGGCCATGTAACGTTTTGCTAGAGCCTGGTATAAAATTATCTTATAAATTGTGCATCCTGAAGTAAGTTTAGGAATGAGATCAGAGGAGAAATAACCAAGAAAAAATGGTTATTTTTCTTGAAAAAATTATCATCAGCAACCTAAAAGCATTTTTCAAGAAAACTGGAAAAAGTCCAGATAAGCTTAGGAACCTTATAGATTCTTGCATAGCCAATATTTGGCCCTATATTTGCAAATAGAAGCTAGAAGAGGTTAAGGTTAAAGGTGACAACCATAATCATGTCAGCATCAAGTTGAAAAAAACTCAGTAGCCTTGCTTCAGTAAAATCATGCAATGCAGGGAGGGAAGGCCCCTGCAGGGCACATCACCCTGAATTTGAAATGTCTGCCCCTCCCCCAAATGCTGTGAAGTAAGTATTTCACTTTGGCCAAGAGAGAAGAGTCTAGAGAGGGCCGAGATTCTCTTCAATGTAGCTTTTTGTTTATGAAAAGAAATAAAATAGAGACACAGTAAGACCTTTACAAAATAAAATCGCAAAGCATCCTCTTACTCTTTGAATAATGCAGCTCTCACCTTTCCTCCTCTCATCTGAGCTAACGTAATTGCATGGAAAACTTTAGGGATGCTGATGATAATTTAAATGTAGAGATGGCAGGCTTTGGTGATATCCTTCTCTGTGCCTGTTAGCTGCTACAGAATCAAGGAATGCAAGACTCATTGCCAAACAAATGATTTGTGATTCACATTTCAGAGCATTATTCAGCGACATGCTAGTTATCATCAGTATCTTTCCCCAGCACTAAGAATGAGACATATTTAAATCTTGCTTATAACTCTTCAGCAAGGGTATCCATTTATATTCTGGACCTTAATGCCGATAGTAGGAGGACTGTAATTGCCATCCTTGCGGGGGGGCTCTGATCAGTCTCCTCCTTTCATTGCCCATTTTTCCTTAAATGTAGTGGCCAAATGAAGTGGCCTCCACGACTCCTTCCCTGTGTTGAGCAGAAGTGGTGATCTGCAGGGTGTTCAGTGCATGTGGGTGGCACCCTGAACGCATGCCTTAGACACTGAGTATTCTGTCTCTCGGTGCCTTCTCTCTGCTACCTCTCATTCAGACTATCTCGGCCATTATGACACGAGACATACGTCACTATTGTTTGGCTACAGAAGCAGAGGGGACTGTTATCAAGTAATAATGCCATCATAGGCAATTAATCCAAAAGAACAACTTTGTATGTCACATTTTTCCTGTCCTGTGTTTCCTTTAGTGAGGTATAATTTACATGCAATAAAATGCATGTTGCCCCGCCCGGCGTGGCTCAGCGGTTGAGCACCGACCTAGGATCCAGGAGATCGGGGTTTGATTGCTGGTCAGGGCACATGCCCGGGTTGCGGGCTCAATTCCCAGTGGGGGGTGTGCAGGAGGCAGCCGATCAATGACTCTCTCATCTTGATGTTTCTATCTCTCTCTCCCTCTCCCTTCCTCTCTCTGAAATCAATAAAGAAATATTTTTTAACAAATGCATGTTGTGAGTGTACAAACTGATGAGTTTGGCAAATGTATACTCTCGGGTAACCATCATCATAATCAAGAGACAGAGCATTTTTGTTGCCACAAAAAATTCCCTTGTGCGCTTTAGAAGTCAGTTCTTTGATGGCGAGCCTTAAGTGATCACTTACTTGCTTTCTGACATGTTGATTAGTTTGCCTATTCTAAACATTCAAATAAAAAACAATCATGTGTAAAAAAAAAAACAACCCCAAAAATGATAACGGCTTAGTACATAAATAACACAGGGCACAATGCCTGGCACACAGTAGGCCCTCAAAAACCAAATCATGAATATATGAATGAATAAAATTCAAAATTCTGAGTAAAAAAGGGAGGGGGCAGGCTTTGGGACATGCTATGTCCTGTATGTCATGAGGACTTGATGATCAACTTTCAGATCAAATCAGAATAAATGTGTGTGTGGACTTTGGAGAAAGGGCTGTTTGTAGAGCAGATCCCATCTCATTTCTTTCAAGTCAGCTTAATTCCCTGTGTTTACATTGAAACGTTACTCGTCATACTCCCAAATTCACCCTGAATGCACAGGATCGTTGGAGATTTACACTATCTCACCTTTCCTTCAGTCAGAAAGCGTACGATTAGCCTTCCGATATACTTCCCCCTTCCAGCCAGGCGTGCAAATCGTACGTGGAGACGGAAGACAGTCACACGGAGGCAAGGGTGGTGGCAGGGAGGTAATGTGGGTGGTAAGTTACGTTGTATGAAGGATGAAAGGCAGTTTGGGAAATCTTTATACCTGTGGCCTCCTAGAGAAGTATCCGTTTTTAATATGTCATTCACCAGTTATCTTTGATTAAGGAAAAATAGACTCTTTCCCAAACTCCACCTGCTACTCTGACAGCCTTTTATTTGATATGGCAACAGAACCACCTGTCTGAGTCTCTCATGTCATATTTTGCATAATAAATTATTTCTACAGTGTGGGGACCACCCCAGCCTTTTTGAGAAATCATTGCCTGGCACCAGACAACAACTGAGGATGGACAGCACTAGGGCAATTTAATCACTGTGCCTCACTTCTTTACACTTTGGCTCTCCAAGGAATATTTATGTTCTGCAAATAAAAGAGCATATGTTTCACCTCCCCACATGCGTTTTTCCTCAAATTCGTTCCTAGTGAACAGTTCCAATCTTGTGTGGGGATTTTGTTAGGAACTTTTAAAAATGCCCGTTTACAGAGGAAGTGTTTGGGAATCAGAGACAATTCCAACAACACTTTTAGTTTTCAATACCAGTGCTTCTCAAGTCAGGGGGGAGAAAAAGAAAACCTGTTTCATCATGATTTCATCTCTTTTTCTTTGATGAACATTAAACAAACACAGCCAGTGAATGGGCTGTCCTTGGCACTCCCTCTATATGTGTATAAACACACACACACACAAATACACACTAACAAATGAGGATGGGAAGAGAGAGGAGGAGTGTCAGACAACTTATTCATCCAATAATCACTGAGAGCCTGCTAAGTGCCAGGCACTGGGTTAGAGGTGAAGACAGGAGAAATGAATAATAACTCAATGGGTGATCACTCTGTTTCTGAGGAATATTGCCTACTCTCCTTGAAAGGACAGCATTTGCATTTTTTAGTTTTCTTTGTCTAGACTCCATACTTCCAGTTCATAAGATCCTCACAGGAAGGGTACTTGGTAAGGATGGCTGGCTCATTCCACATTGATCGGTTTGCCATTATCACCAGGGAGAACCGCTTCACACATACAATGACACGCATACATACTTAAACTTCTTCCTTACTACGTCCTAAAACACTAAGGAAAATTTAGAGAACTAGAAGTTTAGAAAACAAAATCATTATTAGGGCAGCATTCGAGGGCTATTTGCCTGACATGAAGCTTTTACGAAAGCGATTGATATAGAAAACAACTATTTATTCATCAACCTGAAACAAACTGTGGTCTCAAGTCACTAATGCTAGCAGAGGATTGGTCAGCGGAATGGCAACATCAGACCAGTCCTGCTGCAGATTTCATTTTTCTAAGACAAAATGTTTCACTTGGAGAGGTAGGTTTGCTTTCCTCTAGAGAGGGGTCCAGCAAGGCCCTAATGGCCATGACTCAATGCTAACCTGTTGTTGAGTAAAACTGGCAGGTCCGGGACACTCTTTTTCCTTCAGTAGCCACAAATGATGATTCAGACAACTACCTGATTGTCATTGCTTAGAAATCAGAGGAGAGATTGCCCTCTTCTGTCATCCAGTTAGGTCTTAGATGGCAACCCTGAAGACTAACCATAGATTGAATAATTTTTAAAGTGTTCTGCGCTGTACACCTTACGTTTCCTTGTCAAAACATCTAACCAAAAGGAGGGAAAAGCTCTTGAGAACTAAGTGTACTGAGGAAGTTCAACTTGGAGGGTCATTTCATTAAATGACCTGCTAGTGCATCAACCATACTTGGTTATAAACATGATATTTGCCGGTTATGTTGAAGAATGTTCCCAGTACTTCCTAAACATGTTCTAGGAAATATATTTCAAAGGGGCTTAAAGTCTGGGGACCAGCCAAATCTTTTGAACAAATCTGGCTGTGAACTCTAATAGGGCAGAGCAAATGGACTGTGCGGTCCCTGGGTCCATGATGGGATGAAGGCTGCAAAATCTAATCTGGGTGTTGGCTTTGGTTTGCTGTGTAAATCAAGCAGACTGTTGAAGCCATAGCATTTGTAGATCTGACAAGGGAATGGTAAACATCTTAAACATCAATCTGATGGGACATAACTGTGTAAATACAAAACATTTAAACAAATGCTAGAAAATACACAAACGCACACTTACCACCCACCTGTATTTGGCATTACTAAGCGTCCTCCTAAATGGCCAAAGACACCAGTTGTCCTCAGTTCTGTCCTTGTGGGGAGTGATGAGAGATTTTGGAGGTAGGGTGTTTTATTTCTGGGATGCATTGTACTGAAGCTGCGGTTGTTTCCATGGGGAAATGTCCCAGAATGGTTCTTGCCATGGTACTCAGCTCTCTCAGACACCCCCAGCGAAACCATGAATGAGCTCTGGACTTTGACTTTGATGTCTGACAAAGGATTAAAGAGTGAAGACTCTGTCATGAGTTCCTTGTCTAGAGGGTCCTGCAGACAGATGGGACCGCTGTATGTTCGACTCACTGTCAGGTCTGGCTGCATGGAGGAATTCAGGAGCAGGGAGTTACCTGGTCAAAGAAAAGCATTCTGTCACTCAGAAACTAAAAGGCATTATAGTCACCCCTTTATATCTGCTTCTACTAACTGCATAACAGCCTGTGTGCTTGCCCACTGCTCCAATCAGAGCTAGACCTTCAGGGCTCCCAGAGCATCTAGACAGGCTCTGTTAGACCGGTCATTAGTGACCAGAGCCTCAGACTCTTGGAATCTGGCTTCCTAGGCGATTCTCTGAATGCCACTAACCAAAGTCATTCACTTTCCAGCGTTCCTGACAAGCTATCTTTTCAAAACAAGGATTTCTGGCACTCCATCAGGTATTTTTATTTATGTGATTTTAACTGGCAAAGAGAAACTTAAAAAAAAAAAAGGAAGAAAGATGTTTTATAATCCAGTTTGGTGCAAAAATAACATCTGTTCATTTTAAATGGCATGAGATGACACAGCATGGTGACTAGGTAGAGCTGTTTATAACCGAAGCTGTGTTGGTGCCCACACATCTCATGTGAAATTCTGGGCAGTTTCTGGAGCTGGGGAAAGAAATGATGTGTCCCTAGAGCAAAAGGTTCAGGGGACCCCAGGAATCACTCCATGTCTGAGTAGCCAATTTGCTCAAATAACGCATATGTCACTGACAGGGAAAGGAGGCACCACACGGGAGTAGGGAAAAACAGATTCTACGTGGAGAGCAGCTTAGAATGGCTTCCTTTCTGTTTCGGAACAAATGGGAAAAAAGCAATCTTTACAAAAACATGAGAAATTGGACTTTCTCATCTGTTGGGGCTTACCAATTTTTTCTAAGCCAAGTAGTAAAACGAAATGCTGAGATATTTTCTTGTGATGAAGTAATCTCATTTATTAGTAAATAACAAAATAACCCTCAGTCCCAAACCTCCCACCCATATCAGTCCGTCAATGTGACATCTCAAATTGAAACCCAAACCATATTAAACAATTTTCCTTTCGGGCCTGACAAAAATGTTTAAAGTATGATAGTTTTGAAAATGTTTCAATTCCAGGACATGTTGTATTAGCCTCTATTGTTTTTCCATTTTCATAATTTGTAGCAACCCCAGAAGGAAATCTGTAATCCTGACTTTTCCCACCTCTTGCTCTAATACTCTACGAATCCAACATCATAGAGGAAGAGGTTCAGAATGGGGTGAAATAACCTTGTAGATCTAAAGGCTCCTTGGCAATGCATTTTTTTCATGCTTGAGGCTCTTGTGCTAAGATATAGGCACACTCAAGCTGTGCTTTTTAACAGAACTGCACTGAATTCCACAGGCACCAGCCTTACTCTTGTTTATGGTTTTCTCAGGCAAGAAGCAGAACCTAAGACCCACCTAACATCTGGAAAGTTTTGGGAACAGACGTTTCCACTGAGACCTGAAATATCCTATCGCTGAGTCTCCTGGTTATTTTATGTCAAGCCCTCACCTTCTGAAGTTTAATTTCTGGCTACTTTTAAAAGACCCTCGTAATTTATGTGAAGCCATGAAGCAAAAGCATTTCCTAGAATTAGACTTAAGCCTAATTTATGCACTTAAATGGAAGTGGGATTACGTAGGGGTGGGCAAAATAGGTTTACAGTTGTAATGCAAATAAATAATGCAACGATTAATAAATAATAATACAAGAATAAACTCTGTGTTTCCTGTACTCACAACTCTAAACCTACTTTTGCCTACCCTATAGCATTAGGTACATATAACAGAATCTACAGTTGACAAAAGTTGGCTGCCTACTTGATTCAAGTCTGATCAAGGACAATTACCCCATCACCCTGAGTTTCTTTGGAAACTATTTTTAAAAAGTTCCTGGTCTACTCTAAGTGTGTCATCCTATTTAACAGTCTCGCTGTTCACCTTCCTGGGCTCTGGCTATATTTGCTCAAGAAGAGATGTCTCTAAGATAATGGATGGGAGAACCAGTGAGCATCAATGTGAGGTGTTAGCACAATGAACACAAGGCAGAGTGGAATTTTAATACAGAATTTTTTTCTTATATCACTAGTTTTGTGAGATTGCTGGTTTAAAAAAATCAAAATGAGCCTGGTTGGGTGTGGCTCCATGGTTGAGCATTGACCTATGATCCAGGAGATCAAGGTTCGGATCCTAGTTAGAACACATGCCCGGGGTTTTGGGCTCAATTCCCATTGGGGGGGCACTCAGGAGGCAGCTGCCCAATGACTCTCTCATCATTGATGCTCCTATCTCTCTCTCTCCCTCTCCCTCTCTCTGAAATCATACATATATATTTTTTAAAAATCAAAATGATAAAATAAGTTTGGAAAAGCTACCTATTCTTTCAAAGACTTACTATACACGTAAGCTCTGAGGGTCCCCACAGTAAGGAGATGTGTTTAATCAAGCTTATGCAAGTCAGCATCCTCCAAATGAGACACTCCTCTTGCCTGCTGCCTGGTGCTCTATGGGGCACAGTAGCATCCTGTGCCAAGGCAAGCAGAAACAACCAGCTTCCAGAACAATATTCACTGTGTTTATTAAGCAGCTTTCATATGCAAAGGGCTTATAACTCATGTTATTCCAGGTAATTTCATCCTCAGAAGAACCCTTTAGGGTGGATATTAGTATCTCCATTTTACAGCTGTAAATTGAGACTCAGAGAAACTAACTGATTAACTAGGTCATTTAGCAATTTTGGACTCATCTCCATGACTTCAAAGATTCTACACTTGTATAGGCAACTCTCATACTGCTAGTTCTCCATTTTTATGTGCTCTGGTTTAAGACACTGGTATCTTATTATTTGATGAATATACATTTCTAGTTTTTTTAAAAAAATTTTCAGTTACAGTTGACATACAATATTATATTAGTTTCAGGTGTACAACATACTGATTAGACATTTATGTAACTTACATTCTGATCACCCAGATAAGTCTAGTATCCCCCTGACACCATACATAGTTATTACAATATTATTAACTATGTTTTCTATGCTGCACTTTACGTCCCTGTGACTATTTCTATAACTGCCAATTTTTACATCTTAATCCCGTCACCTTTTTCATCCGTTTCCCAATCCCTTTCCCATCTGGAAACCATTGATTTGTGTTTGGATTCCTGGTATATCTTGTATTTCTTGTATATCACTTGTAGATTTTTGGTTTATGGTTACCAAAGCTATGTAAGGACAGTCTATTTTAAGTTGATGATTGCTTAGGTTTGAACACATGCTAAAATCACTACAATTTCTGTCATTTTTTAACTTCTTTTGTGCATGTGTTTGTCTCTCTTAATTTATTATAATTACACATGCTCCTCCTACATTTGCCTTTTAACCTTTGTACTAGCCTTATAGTTGGTGGATCCACTGCTTTTACTAAGCATTTGCCTTTGTTAGTGAGAATTTGTTTTCTTTCCTATATTTTGTTTTCATGGTTTTGATCTTCTCTTCTTAAAGAAGCCCCTTTAATATAGTTTTTTAAATACTGCTCTAGTGGTGATGAACTCCTTTAGTTTTTTTCTTGCCAGGGAAACTTATTGTTTCCCCTTCAATCTAAATGATATCCTTGCTGGGTAGAGTAATCTTGGCTGTAGGTCTTACCTTTACATAATTTTGAATATTTTGTGCCAATCCCTCTGGCCTTCTAAGTTTCTGTTACAAATCAGTTGACAGCCTTATGGGAGCTCCCTTGTACGTAATTAACTGCTTTTCTCTTGCTGCTTGTAAGGTTCTCTCTTTGTCTCTAAACTTTGGCATTTTAATTATGGTGTATCTTGGTATGGGCCTCTTTGGGTTTATCTTGTTTTTGACTGTCTGCACTTCCTGAGTTTGTCTGTCTATTTCCTTTGCCCCAGATTAGGTTTTCTGTCATTATTTATTCAAATAGGTTGTCAGTCCCTTGCTCTGTCTGTTCCTCTTCTGGTACACTAATGAAGCAAATGTCATTACACTTAATGTTGTTCCAGAGGTCTCTTAAAGTATAACAATTTTTTAAATTCTTTCTGCTGTTCTGATTGTGTATTTTCTACTACCTTGTCTTCCAGATCGCTGATTCGATTTTCTGCTTCATCTAATCTTATTTGTTTCTCTCTAATGTATTTTTCATTTCAGTTATCGTATTCTTCATTTCTGATTTTTTTTTTTATGGTTTCTATCTCTTTGTTGAAATTCTCCCTGAGCTCATCTATTCTTCCCTAAGTTCACTGAGCATCTTTATAACCAGTGTTTTGAGCTTTGTATCTGGTAGATTGCTTGTCTCCATACCGTTCAGTTCTTTTTCTGAAATTCTGTCTTGTTCTTTCATTTGGAATACGTTTCTTTGTCTCACTTGGCTGACTGCTTGTGTGCGCTTCTATGTATTAGGTAGATCTGCTACATCTACTAGTATTGGCAGGGTGGCCTTATGTAGTAGATGTCCTTTGGGGTACAGTGGCGCTATATCCCTGGTCACCTGAGCTTGGTGCTCCGTACTGTCCCTTGTGTGGGTTGTGTGTACCCTCCTGATGTAGCTGAGCCTCAATTACTATTGGCACATCAGTGGGTAGGACAAATCCTGTGGATGACTGGCTGTGAGAAATGTCTGTGACTACAGCAAACAAGGTATTGTGCAGGGGCTTACCATAGAACAAGATTCACTTTAGTTGGGCTCTAGTGTCTACTAAGTCTGCCCTTGGGTGTGTCATTTCTGGACCTGGTTGGGGGGGTGATCTGTTGTAGTATTAAGCTGGCTACTGGGAATGTTGGTTCTGGGGCCTCTTGAGAGGGTCTCTGGTGCAACTCGCAGTCAGATCCTACCTGTGTATGGCCTAGAACCACCTATTAGGGGCTACAAAGTGATCTGTGGTTGGTTTCCACTTGTGTTGGGCTTTTAGGTGCCTAGGAGAGGTTGGCCTGCAAACTGAGGCTGGCTGTCACTAGTGACAGTCTTGGGGCCACTTAGCAAGAGGTACAGGGCATGCTGAGGCTAGTTGTTGCTTGTTTGGGGTTTGTGGGCCTTAAAAGATTTTAGAAAGCAGCGTAAGCTGAGTAAGGACACTTGTATGAAAAAACCACTGCAAGTAGCATGGG